TTGCATTTTAACTTTGTAAACTATAAACTCATGCGTCTCCTCACGGTTTGTCTCATTTTCTGAGCTAACTGGCTACAACAGTTGTTCTCTCCCCTAATGGCCACGCCCACTCCTGCCCGATGCTCGCGGAGTTCCACGCCCATTAATCATGCATCTTTTGAAAAAATTCTCAAGTAAACTTTATTTTTAACTTTATTTATATAAAAATGGGGCTTGAGATTGGTGCTTTCTCAGTTACTTGCCTAGGCTTGAGATCTAAACAGAATTTTTTTTAAGAAGGTGGTCAATGCTTGGAGTACAAATGGAAATTAAGCAACATGCACATAAAGGATTCAATTTTAGCGTTTTAGTCTAAATCACATGGCGCAAAAGCATTAGTAAGTGGATAAACTGAATGGAAAAACTGAATGCTTCACTAGCGTGAAAACAGTTAAACAGACAATCTGCAGTAAGAATAAAGAATGAGCCTCCTCCATTCAGCCTCTTTTCTTTCTCTTTACTCCTTTATTTTGGTGGAGCAAGGAAACGGTGTTGTACGGTCTCCACTGAAGACATCCATAAGCCAATATATTTAATTTCCTTTGTTAAGCACAAAAATTTGTTTCAAAACTATTTCTAAGTTCAGTTCTAATTTCCAGCAAACTAATAAATGAACAAGAATAACGAAGTGTTGTTAAAAAACAGTAAAAAAAAAACACACGTCCTGTTCTTATACCCCATATGGTGATGCAGACGTCTCCAAAACCCCACAGGTGGACAAATCTAAACTTGTTCTAATTTAAACAAACAAATATATATATATATATATATATATATATATATATATATATATATATATATATATATATATATATATATATATATATATATATATATATATATATAATACTGCCAATAATAATAATAGCATTATACAGATTCAGATAAATAAACAGAAAAAACAGGTAAAGAAGGCATGGAAACAGTGTTGTTTATATTTATGTAGAAAATAATAATTTTTGTAACATTTTAATCCTTTAATTGTTTTCATCTGTAAAGATATTTGTGTATTGCTGTACATCCTGTGTGTATTAAGCAATGTGTACACTTGGGGTTGGAAGATTAACCCATATGTATCGATACGCAGTCATGAGCGTGCACGATGAGCGTGCATCGGTAGAGCAGCAGAGGATGAATGAAATTTTGAAAGCAAATCAAGATGCATCGATTTTTGCGAGATGCATCGGTTTTTCCAAAATACAACTTATATTTTTAATATAGAATGTATTTTTTTATTATTAACAAGTGTTGTCAACCTGTTTTTGGCGCATAATTTAATCAACCTACATAAAGTATGCCTTAGCAACGCACTTGCGCATGTGTACACTTACACTACAACTCAGTTTATCAGGTGTGCGGATGAAGCTAGTGGTGCGCCCTCAGAAAGCGTGAGAAGCAAAACAAACACGTCGGACGCCGAGACAATTTATTCCCCACTGAGTTTTAAATCTAAAGTATGGCAATGTTATGGATTTTATATAAAAGATGGACGACTTGATAAGACAGATGCAATTTGCAAAATGTGCCGCGCATCTGTAAATACACGGACAGTACGACTAATCTGATATCTCACTTTCCGCCACTGTGTTGTTGTGGAAGCATCTTTCCGTGTTCTTGCATCCCCTGCTTCCTGCTCTAATTCACCTGTAGTTACCAACTCCAAAAGTGGTGAGAAAAGCATTGAAAGTTTTTTGCATGCCCCGCTTGCTAACAATTCTGCTCGCTCTACGGCAATAACGGATGCTATTGCATTGTTCATCTGTAAAGATATTCAGCCTTTTAGTGTCACGGAGAACGAAGGTTCTTTAACACCTCCTCCTGTTAATTTTTATTTAATTTTAATTTTTATTTTTTTATTAGCCTGTTGTTTACAGTGACAGTGATGTTTTAAAGCAGCATAACACTGCTAGTTTACCTTAAGTTTTAAATATTCAGTGGCAAAATATTCATTTATTCATTTTCTTGTCGGCTTAGTCCCTTTAATAATCCGGGGTTGCCACAGCGGAATGAACCGCCAACTTATCCAGCAAGTTTTTACGCAGCGGATGCCCTTCCGGCCGCAACCCATTTCTGGGAAACATCCACACACACACTCACTCATACACTACCGACAATTTAGCCTACCTGTACCGCATGTCTTTGGACTGTGGGGGAAACCGGAGCAACCGGAGGAAACCCAAGCGAAGACAGGGAGAACATGCAAACTCCACACAGAAACACCAACTGAGCCGAGGTTCAAACCAGCGACCTTCTTGCTGTGAGGCGACAGCACTACCTACTGCGCCACTACCTTGCCCCGTGGCAAAATATATATTTGTAAAATTTGTTTTCATAGTTGAAAAGTTAAATCACAAAACCGCAAGTCTTTGGACTGTGGGGGAAACCAGAGCACCCGGAGGAAACCCACGCGAACACAGGGAGAACATGCAAACTCCACACAGAAATGCCAACTGGCCCAGCCGAGGCTCGAACCAGCGACCTTCTTGCTGTGAGGCGACAGCACTACCAACTGCTTCACTGCGTCGCCGTTATATAATTATATAATTCTTTGCAGTTGTCATTGTTTATTGTTTTGTCCGTTTCTATAAATTTTTTTATTGCTGCTGTTATTATTGCTTGTATCACTGTAATGACAAAAAAGTCTCTTTAGTCTTTACATTAGTGGATTGGTGTGTTTTTAACAGGCTGGTTTTTCATTGTTGTACATTACAATATAAAATAACAAAACTAACCAATATTCTGTGATTTCTTAAAGATCAATAATATAAAATGAGTCAAATTACTGTAAGCCACAGGCCATAAACCTTTTTTATTGCATGAATTCAATAGTTTATTTTTGCCTGAATGTTAACAAAGTTTTTGTTTAAAAATACACTCATTAATTCTTAAAAACCACAAATGTCTTTGATTTATACTGAAAGCAAGGGTCAATTTTTTTGTCACCACGGATTATAATGCAAGTTAAATCTACATTTTGGTTGTAGTTAAGACTATGAAGAGTGCTTGACTAGCCTATTGTTTTAATAGTATGTCATGAGTTTTTCTTTAAATGACTAGTTTCTTCTGTATTGTACATGAAGGTTCTTCTGTATTGTACATGCTCATGGTGAGGTGGAATGACAGCACTGCTCCAGAGGCACCAGCAGCTGCACTAATGACACTGGATGCAGCACTGAGGACTGTCCACTCTACAGGTAAAGAAAGGGTTTTATTTCTTACCTTTTGTTAATGTTTGAAATCAGGAATGTTTCTGCAGAAGGCTGGTAGGTGTTTTTTTTTTTTTTTTTTTTGATGATCATGTTTTATATTGTTTTATATATACGACTGTCAACAGCTCAAAAAATGTGTTTTGGTGTTTCGTGACCCTTTAAAGAGTACAACTGCAAAAAACATGATTTATGGAAATTACTAAAACTTGAGATTTTAGTAGTTTGCAGACATGTGTTTACATGAAGAAAAATCTATATTTAGTGAACAAAAATAAATATGAATGTTTTGGAGTGGCCATCACAAAGCCCTGATCTCAATCCTTTAGAGAATGTGTGGGCAGAGTTTAAAAAGCTTGCACGAGCAAGACTCTGAAGCAAGACTCTGAATTCTGTCAGAAGGAATGGAACAAAATTCCTGCAAACTATTGTGAGAAGCTTGTGAAAGGATACCCAAAACATTTTACCAAAGTCATACAGTTTAAAACCAAAGCTAAAAAAATAACAAGGAAATGTATGTACAATTTTGACTGTGTACAATTTAATAAAAAAATCACACAAAAAAAACTCATTATTTTGGCATTTAGCAAATCATTAAAGTAATCCTAACAGACCTAAATTAGTAAACGTTTAGTACGATTTACCATCAGACATTTTTTAATAAATAGTTATGTTCCTTTTTTGGGGGTGTATGTAAACTTGGTTTCAACAGTATATAGTACTATTCCAACTCACTATCTGCATTATATGTTTTTTACAGTGATTAAACAGATCATCTTTAAGACAGGACTTTATGTATAAAAATTGTACAAAATGTGTGCTAAAAAGAAAGAGAAAGTCAGTTTAATGGTCAAGGGATTAATCAAATATACCTATTGATTGAAGGTTTGCAAAGAAATTTGAGGGTCCCTTGTAAAAGCATTTTGTATTTTCAATATACAGTATTGTATTTTGATACATTTGTGGCTGCTGTGTTTTGTAGTTTATTTTGATTCATGTAAAAATGTGAGGTATTTTTTTTTTAAATACAATTTGCTGTGTTTTTGCCTATCCCTGACCACAACCACTAACACCACCTCTACAAATTAAAGTAACTAAATCTCCATATATCGTCAGGATGTTATTTTATAGGCTATCAAAATAAATGATGTTATAATTTAACATTTTTAAATGAAATCTTACATTTAGCACTTGTAGGGCTTTGTTTTAATAACTATTACAATAAAAAAAACTGACTATCAACGTCACCTGTCCTCAAACAGGCATAGGCTAGGCCATGCTACCCGACGTTAAGCGTTAAAAAAAAGAATAAAAAACGGAAATAGGATTGCATGTTCAGTCACTGCATAAATCTTTCTGCACACAAGCAAACCAAAATAATAAAGCCTCGCAAACACATACACACACATGTAAATCATTTTAATGTACAAATAAAGCCGTTAGTTTTTAAAAATCTGATTCGCCACATTCCCTCACGCCATGTATAAAGAGATATAGCTGTGTATAGGGTGTAGTTTCTATGCAAAGCGTGTTTCTCTTCAGTGAGGTGCGTGTGCAGCGGCAGCGACAGATGGTGGGCTCCTCTTCCCTCGGGAAGGCAATCTCTACGAATGCGAGCGCGTGTCAATCACCCGCTCTCATGTGATGGCTCCTGCCAGTGACGTGCCCACCATATGGCTTGGCATAAGAGCAGGTATGTAACCCTGCTTGCTAGGGATGCCACACCGTCTCGCTGCAGTCCGGGAAAAGGATAACACGTATCGGATCAAAGACAATCGTCGTTCTCTTTTTCTAAGTCTTCGTAGCGTAGTAGGGAACTGTAGCGTGAAGATGATGTAGACGCACGCACCCTCACCCGTAGAGCACCATAAACTAGGTGAGTTTTCTAACGCGAGAGAATATGATGCAAGATCAATTTATTTTTAAATGTTCTTCTATTTTAGAGTTTTGTCATCTATGATAAATTATCCCAGTTAACTATTGCGTTTTACAGTCTAAGTATTAGAAAATCTATAATGTTAAAGTGAATAATAAAAAAACTGACCCGACTCGCTCAGAAACAGATGTTATGTTAATTTAGTTTACTCTAAATCCTATCATTTTTATTTTACGAGGTATTTTTGACAATTCATTATATGTTTTTTTTCTTAGGCCTATATGTTGTGCAATTTAATGCATGTACACATTTAAAACGTGATCCACTGTAGTAGCCTAACTCATTTTTTACATTTCTATGATTTATATCGACATACTAATAATGCAAGCTTTCTTTTGGTGATCATCAAACAGTAGGCTCCCCTATGTAAACATCAAACAGGTTGTCAGTAAACGTTTGTAATAGCTTTGTATAATCAAATCGGTTATCAATTTTCTGCATATATAGCCTATCAAAAATGTAAAACAAAAAATAAGCACGTAATGTTGTTACGCATGACAAAGACAAGAGACCTGTAATTTATTTTTTTCTGTTTAAGAATAAATTTTGGAGCGACATTGTTGTTCTCATGTTCATACCTTCATGAGAACAACTGTCTAATATAAATTGGTTCTTTTGTATGTATTATGATTCTTTATAGCCTAAACAAGAGTGAAAATCGAAAAGAGTGGACAACATGGTTATTTACGAAAATGGTTGAAAATGGACATTCTGCGTTTTTGGGACCCCGCCCTCTTCGATGGAACCCATAAATTAGCTATTGCAATCATACTTATTACCATATTATATTTTAATATTAGACTGACTTACAGCGACGCCTTTTTTCATTTGCGGTTTAAAGGTTGACTAAAACGGTATTTAGCCTAATTCAGCACTGTTTAGCCTAGCCTACTTGGAATAGAATATTAAATGGTTAACATTCCCCATATAAATAAATAAATAAATAAATAAAACAGGAAAACAGAAATTGGAAGTTGAAGTAAGGCCTCTCTGTCACTGTTTCTCATTAATGTATAGGCTGATATTTTAGAACTTTTCTCTCACATATAGACTCAAACCCAAGAAAACGACTTTTTAAACTTTTTTTACCCAATTAATCCCATGTCATTAAAAATAGTTCGGTTCACAAGACATAGCCTATTTAAATTCGTACTAAATTGCAACATGTTTTAAAACGTTTGTTTAATCGCTGTTTATGTTTCAGTGGAATCGTAATGTTAACAAGATTATTCAAAGAACCTTCACTGCTTCCGGACATGCAGAAGTTCGGGGGCTGGGTGGATGACAGCGGGAGCGAGGACTCCAAAACCAAGGACGAAGAGCAGGAGCGCTGTCGCCTTGGCGACGAGGACTTAGACGAGGGCAGTGTGAAAGGAGGGGGCAGCCGGGCTCAGTCTGAAATTGCAGGGGAGGAAGACTATGACGAGGATGTTGATGAAGATGACTGTGGAGAAGAAGGTGATGGAGACAGACCCAAAAAACGTGGGCCCAAAAAACGCAAAATGACTCCGGCTAGGTTAGAGCGCTCGAAAGTACGGCGCCAAAAAGCAAATGCCAGGGAGCGCACGCGCATGCACGATCTTAATTCAGCCCTAGACAATCTACGCAAGGTCGTACCGTGCTATTCAAAAACTCAGAAACTTTCCAAAATTGAAACGCTAAGATTGGCAAAAAATTACATTTGGGCCCTGTCCGAAATCTTAAGGAACGGGAAAAGACCGGACGTAGTCTCTTATGTTCAGACATTGTGCAAAGGACTATCCCAGCCCACGACCAATCTGGTGGCTGGGTGTCTCCAACTTAACTCAAGGAATTTCCTAACGGAACAGTGTCAGGAGGGAGTGCGCTTTCACACACCCACCCCTTCATTCTCCATTCAATCATATCCATATCAGTGCTCCCGTCTTTCAAGCACAAATTGTCAGTCCGGATCGAGCACTCATAGCCTCCGAAATCACTCCCTCTGTTCGGCCTATGAGGCTCTGTACACCGAAGGGACGTCCCCAGAATACATCAGTGCAGATTTCGAGGGCCACCACAGCCCTCCGGTATGTGTAAATGGTAACTTTGGTGTGAGACAAGAGGAGCCACTTTCACCAGACGCGGAAAGAGGCTATCAATATTCTATGCATTACACCAATCTGCATGGCTCACGTTCATCTGCTGCTCATGGTATTACTTGCGGACCACCAGGAGCTCGCAGCGGCAGTGTACACTCAGAAAACCTTCCCCTGTTTCATGATGTACACATGCACCACGATCGTACGCCTGCATATGAAGAACTCAACGCCTTTTTCCACAGTTAGGTGATTCTTCCCTGCTCTGACTTTTTGATCCACGTTGAAAAAGTGTCATTTACTTTACTTTATTTGGAAATCAGTCGGTGCAGGGTAATATATATTTTTTATTCAAATTAATTCAATTAATCAAATAAGTTGTTTGTTAGTTTTGCATTACTGCATAAGAATCCGATTTTTACAATAATTACTTAATGACAAAATGTGTATACAGAATTCAGGACATGAGCCCAAAGCGAGTTTATAATGTAAAAACACAAGAAAGAAAAATGTTGCAAAAAATGTTAAATCAAGTATGTTTCTTGCTTCAATAAATAAGGAAGCATATTGTTCCAGAATCATCCGGAGTTATCATTTACTACGAGAATTGGTCAGACTGTAATGCTAAGATTAGCTTATATACCAAAGTTCCCGCTTTAGGAACAATTATGAATGTTTGGGTAGTTAACATTATAATAGGCGATGTATAATCACATTTAGAAATAATAAAACGAAAGTTGACCATTATTATTTATAAATTAATTTTAGGCTATATAAATAATTTATATTTATGTGTATATGTGTGTGTGTGTGTGTGTGTGTGTGTGTGTGTATATATATATATATATATATATATATATATATATATATATATATATATATAGAGAGAGAGAGAGAGAGAGAGAGAGAGAGAGAGAGAGAGAGAGAGAGAGAGAGTATCCGAATTTACAATAATTCGATCAAATAAGCGCTTTGAGGACAAATAAATACACAATCTAAATTAATTTAATTTACCGTGCCTTAAATAAATGTATTATTCCACGTTTCCTTTGGAAAATGAGAAATTATTGGTAGCTGTGTAAGATCATTTTAAAATATGTCAAAAACATTTGTACATTTACATTCACAATAGGTGCAGTGTAATATTATAACAAAAATTAACGTTTGTTTAATTGCTGATTAGTTTTGTTATTTGATAATATTTAATTTAAATATTTAATTTATTTGATTTGAAAATATCCTGGACTGAAGCAACATTCCGCAATAGATTAAACGTGAAGGGACATTGCTATTCATTAGAAAATCAACATAGCCTATTCGTGAATTTATTTCACTTCATGATGTTAGGTCTGTAACAAATTATATTTACTTTTCGTTATCACTTTGAAACACAATTTTAGAACAGCTACCGGGACTATTATTATTATTATTATTATGGTCAAAATAGTTAGCAATCACGAACGTACAACGCAGGGGACTTTATAAAACGTGCACAAACAAAGATCAGTGACGTAGCAAACTTATTGTTGCATATTGCATTGTTAAAGACAAAACAATATTTATTAATTATTATTACTATGTTTATAAATAGGTTAAACTATATAATAATTACATTTTATGTGAATTTTTAAAATCTTTTCACTGTAAATCAGCGTTTTAGAACACAAAGTAGCTATTTTTAGAGATTATATTTTAGTGCCATATTAAAAAGTAATATGTATAAGTATTACTTATACTTTTTTAATGTAAGTATTAAAAATATTTATAAAGTGTCGGCATAAATGCCGACACTTTTTAAATAACACTTCTTCAGTACCACTTTGTCGCACTATGGATTTAATATACACACTGTCTTTTTTTTTTTTTTTTTTTTTTTTTTTTTGCCGTATTGTCTACTCCTGTTGGCTAAACGACCAATTTCTTTGTGTTGTATTATTCAGCTTGTATCGCCATAGGAAATATGACGCTCAATTGGTTTACAACATTTCTTTAAAAGATAGTAGTTCACTTATTTTCGGGTAGACTAAAAAATCATTAATTAATTCATTATCATTAATTCATTAATTTTATGCTCCGCCTAAAAATCGTTATAGTTCATCCAAATTATCTGCTCAAACTAAATATTTCTTTTGATTCCAGCATTTTTGTTTAGAGTCCAGAGGGTAATAGCCAACAAGGAGACAAAAGGCGCTCCCTCTTTAAATTCGACCACAGCCGAGGTGATCTTAAGTTGTGTCCAGAGGCCACGGGCTGGCACGGAACCGAGGCAGTCAGGAGACACGCACTTGCCAAATCGCTAAATGTCTTAGCGTCTGTGCGCACGGCCAGCGGGGCAGCCCACCACAGCGATGCCAGCTGCGCCTGTGTGCCAAGCTAGCCAAAGCTACACTGCTGGGTGGAGACGGTGTTTCTTTCCTAATTCAGCAGCATCTGTTCATTACTTCATGTTTTAAAGGGAAGATAGGTTCATCTATATGCTCGTAAACAGAAACAGCAATGATTGCACTGTGGAATAGTTGAAGTAGGTATGCGGTCCGGTCATGCACATTAATTAATTTCATACATTAAAAAAATAATTATGCGAAGATAAATATAATTGGCCTTGAATCAATGTATGAATATTCTAATATGTAAAGTCACAGTAAATTTGGTTAACATGATTTAAGTCAGTTAAAAAATGGTTAAATACATTTTTAAATCGTTTTTTTTTTTAAAAGTTGAACATTTTTTTGTTAATTTAAAATTATTTTGCAGACGTACTGCGTGTGTAGCTAATGTTAGCCTATATGTTCGAAGGGGACATTCGTAAACACACTGAAATTTCTGACAGATAGTAGGATATATCTTTACAGTTTTCTTTCTTATAGTGATTGAAAGGTATTAATGCGAGGCAGATTTGGTCCACAAATAAACACACAGATTTAACATAAATTTTAGGGACGTTTATTTTCAGACTTAATTTTAGAAAAAAAAACATTGGCGATGTCTTTTTCGACATCTTGCAATTTTTATACCTTATTATATGCTTCATGCTGTGTTCACCGTACTAATTTCTGCATGCCAGCCACACCCCAGCAGTCCCTGTCATGGAGGTTGGCACAGACTGGCATAGCTTATCAAAATTCCACAGCATCTGTTCACTGTGGCAGAGTAGCACTGCAGAGAAAACGCGTGCAGAGCAAAAAAGAAAAGAATGTAAGATCTTGTGAAAATTCAGATTACTTGGAATACATTAGAAATCAAATTCAATCAATTTAAATGCATTTGATTATTCGTGATAAACGACGATAGTAAGTAAAGATAATATGTATGTGAATGGTATGTTTTTGCTAAACAAAAAAATGTACTTTTTCAGTATGTTTTGTTTTCCCTTCTATATCTCTGGGTTTAAACAACGTGTTTGTGAGTATTACTGTTTAATGCTATTCTGTGTTTATATATTTTGTATGTAAGTGCGTTAAGGTTGTTGCTTATCTGCACAGATGGCATGGGTTTGGGGGGAGGGGGATGGTGTAGTGGGGTATGGGTTCTGATGATGCCATGCAATGGTCACATGGGCATTGGTAATTGGGCGCCATATTGCCTGGTTTGCAGGGCTCTGGGGCAGCCAGTCACCCAGCTGGACCTGTCAGATGGCATTGAATCCAGCTCACTGCCCTCTACCCTCAGATCCCTTTTTCTCTGTCTCTCCCTCTTTCTTTCACTTTTACATTTTTAATCTCACTCTCACACTGCCTTAAATTCTTGTAGTGGAGTGTTATTTAATTTTTGCAGAATCTAATAACACAAGTGGCCGTTCTGTTTTTGAGTTTTTTGTTTTTAAATAGCATGGTTAACAGTGTATCAGGTTACCTTTTCCCTGAAGAAAGTGCTTTTTTAAAATATGGGTTGTTACATTTTCAAACATTTAGATTTATGAAAAAAATCACTTTATATGCAACCAAGTAATTTTTTTTCTATAAAAAAGAAAGCCTGGCCTAAAATTCATTCTTTTTATATATAAATTTTATATATAAATTGTGAAAAAAAAAAAATCACAAGGAAAGCAAGAAGAAAACAAGAATGTGTTTGCATGTGTGAAAAGAGAAGAGGAATATTTGAGTGAAAGGGGCATGCTATGTTTGCAGTTCTTAACACTGCAGAAGATGAAAAGAATACGACAGAAGAGTTAGAGAAGGAAATATAGAAAAGGTTGCCTCTTTCCCTGCATCATGCCATGTTTCTTCTTCATAGTATGGGTCTTCTCCATCTATTTTAACATAAAAACAACAACTGTTACTATAAATACTATTACTTGTCTACAAACTTAAGGAATTAAATTATTAAAATAAAAGCAAACATCCCAAACCTTAAAAAACGTTCTCTTTGGGCCAGACATCTTTTTTTATTCCCATGTGATGAACTGTGACTGTCTTTGAGGGTATGATGAAACACACAATGTCCTCAAATAAGTACCAAAGGATGTTTTCACGGGTTGGCCAAAAAAACAACAACAACCTTTTTGACTCTCAGTGGCAGAATTGTCATTTTTAGGAAAACTATCACTTTAAATATATTACAACTTCAGTGTTTCACTATAAAATGTCAAAATCATGTGAATAATAGAAACTAATATATAATAATCTAATAATATTCTACAAAATAAATACATCAGAAGATGCTTCTCACTCCTGTTATTGATATGCCAAATATGTGAAAAGTTTACACTAAACAAATTACACCTATGAAATAATTTAGGTAATAGGACAGTATTTTAAAAATGATGCATCCTATTTACTTTACAATGTAATCAAATATGTTAAAATATGTTGTTTTTTTGGTTCAAATATATATATGTAAGAGGCAAAGATAAGATATGGTTACACAACAGTGCAAAACACAATTAAATGTATGATTTTTAATGATTATATTATAGAGTGAATACAGTGTTGGAGACTGGGAAAAAGCAAAAAAAAAAGAAAAAAAAAGAAGCTATTTTCACTGTTTTAGGTCATTTTTAATCAATCTTTTGAATGTTACAGATAAAGTCAGAATTATTAACCCCCATTTGAATTTTTTTTCTTTTTATATTATTTCCCAAATTATGTTCAACAGCGCAAGGACATTTTCACTGTATATATTTTGTATATATTAAAAATAAAATAAACTAATAATAATGATTATATATATATATATATATATATATATATATATATATATATATATATATATATATATATATATATATATATATATATTTTTTTTTTTTTTTTTTTTTTTGGCTTAGTCCCTTTATTAATTTGTTGTCACCATACATACTGGAGCACCCGAGGAAACCCACGCAAACACGAGGAGAACATACAAACTCCACACAGAAATGCCAACTGACATGACTACAGTTTGACTTGCAGCTGTTGGACAACATAATGTACTTTTGAGGCTTTTTTAAGGCAAGAATGTAGTTGTTTAGATTGCAACTATCAAGTTTTTTGTTAAGGATAGTACCTATTTTAAATGTTCATACTTTTAGAGATTCAGCGTGTTGGTGGCCAGCCTGCCATATGGAGCAGAGCAAAGATGGTGGACTTTCCGTCACA